CCGAAAGCCACGCCAAGGTTTCGTCAACAAGGGATCAACTCAACCTTGGGACAACCGCGGCCACATTAGCATCAGAACTCTAATGCGAGGTTTTTAAGTGCAGAAAAAGGCGACAGATGCAGTAAATACGACATGTACAGCAAAATGGAAAAAAAAAAGATTAAGTATTTCTCTCACCTTCGCGGCCAAGAGAGAGAGAGAGAGAGAGAGAGAGAGAGAGAGAGAGAGAGAGAGAGAGAGAGAGAGAGAGAGAGAAGAGAAGAGAGAGAGAAGAGAAGAGAGAGAAAGAGAGAGAGTGAGAGAAAAGAGAGAGAGAGTGAGAGAGAGAGAGAGAGAGAGAGAGGAGGAGGAAGGAGAAAGCGAGAGAGAGAGAGAGATTTATCCCAAACGCCAATGAGAAAGAATTTTCCTTTTCTCGTTTCTTTTCTTTTGCCTCTTTTATCCCCATCTAAAAAAAAAAATTTCAGACCCACACCATCAACATAATTAAAAAACACACAAAAAAAAAAAAAAACACACACATAAAAGTCTCACCTGCCTTCCCACACTCGCGCATCGAAAAGAACCAAACCGCACAAGACACTCACTAGCCTCAGCCTCCCGAATCTCAGTGCTCCTGTTGGGCTTCGTCAGCTCGGCCTTGTGGATGCCTCCCTTCCTCAACCGGCATTACGCTGACACATCGCGAAGTCAGCTTTAAATCATGACTCAAACTGGACCGATAGCATACATGGTCACCGCTGGTTGTATGGGATTAATGCCTGCCTATTGAGTGCACCAGAGCATGTCCAATTTCCATCAAATGTACATTAGTGTAAAATGTATGCGTGGCTCTGTTGGGGCGTTTTTTTTCTTTTTCTTTTTCCTTTTTTCTCTTTTTTTTTGCTTGCTTGCTTGCTTGCTTGCCTGTGTGCAAACAATGACACGTCAAGACCAAACCAAAATCCTCTAAACCTACCCACAAGATCGACAGAGAGAGAGAGAGAGAGAGAGAGAGAGAGAGAGAGAGAGAGAGAGAGAGAGAGAGAGAGAGAGAGAGAGAGAGAAGAGAGAGAGAGAGAGAGAAAGAGAGAGAGAAAGAGAGAGAGAAAGAGAGAGAGAGAGAGAGAAAAGAAAGAGAAGAGAAAGAGATCAGAGAGGAATGAGAAAAAGAGGGGAAGCACCAGAGAGGGGACCTAAGACCCCCTTTCCGGACACGAAGAAGAAGGCCAAGAAGAGGGAGTGAGAGGAGAGGGGGGGGAGGGGAGGGGGGGACCGGCGGGTGGAAGCATCAGTCAGCGCGCCCGTCGACCACCTCGCAAACGGGCGGCCCATCCACTAGACAGGCCCCCGAAATGTTATCTTTCACCCCCACCCCCCGCCCCTCCGTCACACCCCGCCCCCGCCCTCCACCACCCCCTGTACCACCCCCGCCTGCCACGTACACCCCATCCATAAATGTATACGCTCGCAGATATAAACACACACGCGTCTCCGTTTCCCGCCCGTCTCGCCAAGGTCAAATTGATAAACATTTTAACATTCAGAGTCACAAACAAGAGCGAATTTCTGCCTGGGCGTCACACCTCCGAGGGGAATGGGTGCCAGGTGAATCTATTGGATAAATCTATAAAACTCGTATTAAAAGACATAAAAATATGGGCACTTGAAAAATAAAAATTATGATAATAATAACACCCAACCCGTATCCGATCGACGGCACCACAGTCATCCCCATCCCCATCCTCATGCCACATCCCCATCTACATGCCACATCCCCATACATACATCCACATCCTCATCTAACATCCCCATCCTCATGCCACATCCCCATCCATCACCCTTATCATCCTCATCCTCATCCCACATCCCACACCCTATTTCATTCCTTCATCCACATCCACATCCCCATCGGACCCATCCAAATCCCCCATCTCATCCTTGAAATCCACATCCCCATCCACATCCTCATCCATTATCCACTCCTCATCCCACATTCCCATTCGCCCCATCCACATCCACATCCACATTCCCAAATCCTATCCTCACATCCCTCATCCACACCACATCGCGATCACATCCTGATCCCACATCCACATCTATCCACATCCCCATCCTTATCCATATCCCCATCCATCATTCCTAATCCTCATCCATATCCCCATCCTGCATCCACCATCCCCATCCTTGATTTCCACATCACCCATTCCTAATCCACATCCCCATCCTGGATTCCATCAATTTTCCCCATCCTTGATCCTGATCCACATCCCGCATACCTGAATCCACATTCCCCATCTCTAATCCCCATTCCTGATCCTTTGAATCCACTATCCCCATTCCTGATCCTGATCCACATCCCCATCCTGTGATTCCTGATTCCACAATCCCTTCCATTCCTGATCCTGATCCACATCCCCATCCTGATCCTGATCCCCATCCCCATCCTCATCTAATCCACATCCCCATCCTGATCCACTATCCCATTCCTGATCCAAATACCCTATCCTGATCCGGATCCCCATCCTCATCCTCATCCTGATTCCACATTCCCATCCACACCCTCATCATCCTCATCCTCATCCCCAACCACCTCACATTCCCCATTTCCCATCCACATCCCCATTCCTTCATCCACATATCCTCACCTCTCCTCATCCCCATCCACATCCACATCCCCATCCCCATCCGCCCATCCATATCCTCATCCACATCCACCTCATCCCCATCCCACATCCAACACACATCGCGAATCAAATCCTCGGAGTGACCGTGACCTTCCACCTCTCATGAACTTCTCATGACTAATCACTTTTTGGTTCATGATCACCTCTCTGACGTCATTGAACGCTGCCATGAAAAGGAGAGGAGGGGGGTGGGGGAGGGGTGGAGTAGGGGGGTGGGGTGGAGGATTAAGGCGGGTGGCTTGGGCTATGAAAAACGTGACTCGCGCGAAGAGGGAGGGAGGGAGAGAAGGAAGGAGGAGAGGAGGAGGAGAGAGAGGAGGAGAGGAGGAGGAGAAGAAGAAGAAGAGAAGAAGAAGAAGAAGAGAAGAGAAGAAGAAGAAAGGAAGAAGAAGAAAGAAGAAGAAGAAGAAGAAGGTAATGGGAAAGCAAAAAGAACACAAGAAAAAGAGAAAACAGAGAAAATAAAAAGGTCAAAGACAAGAGTGGAACCAAGAAAGAAAGAGAAAACAAAGAAAGAAAGAGCACACACACAAAAAAATAAAATAAAGAGCACAAGAAAAAAAAGACGAAAGCACAAGAAAAAGAAACAAAACAAACAAAAAAAACAAAGAGAACAAGAACAAAAGAAAAACAAATAAAAAAAGTACAAAAGCCCAAAAACATTAAAAAAAACAAAGAGAGCACAAAAAAAAAAGAAGATAATAAAGATGGAACCGGAAGAGAAATCAAACCAAAGCCGTCGGAGCCATCGGGGAATTCCCCGACCGACTCCGACCGGCTCCCGCGGGATGGGATTCCTTGCCCGAAATAGCGCAAGGTCGATGCTCAAAAAGGAGGAGAGAAAGAAAGATGGGAAAAAGGAAAGAAAAAAATTAATAAATAAAGGAAAAAGAGAAAAATCGATGCTTTCAATAAAGAAGGAATAAGGAGAAATAGCGCAAGGTCGATGCGCTCAAATAAGGAGGAGAGGGAGGAGAAGGAAAAGGATAAGAAAAAAAAATAATAAATAAAGGAAAAAGAGAAAAAATCGATGCTTCAAAAAGAATGGAGAAGAAGGAGAAATAGCGTCAAGCGTCGATGCTCAAAAAGGAGGGAGGAGAAGAAGATGAAAAAGGAAAAGAAAAAAAATAATAAATAAAAGGCAAATTCGAGAAAAATCGTGTTCAAAAAGCAATGAGAAGAAGAAAGAGAAGAAGAAGGCAGAATAGAAGAGGAGGATAAGGAAAAGGAAACAAGAAAATAATAAAGAAGACAAAAATAAAAAATCAAAAGAGGAAGAAGGGAAACAAATATATAAATAAAGGAAAAAGAAAAAAAATAACGATTGTTCAAAAAGAGGAAGAATGAAAAAGGAAACAAAAAATTATTAAAAATTAACAAAATCGATGTTTTCAAATCAAAAACAAAACCAAAAAGAAAAGAGAAAAAGAAAACATCAATACGACTAAGGAACGACTAAGCAGCAAAGGGACTAATAAGAAAAAAAACAGAAAGAAAGAAAAAGACTGCAAAAGCCGCATCACAAATAACAAAGATCCATAAACAAATAACAGTCGAAAAAAAAAAGAAAAAAGAAATATCATAACAAGCATTTTTAAATGAGTTAGAAAGGGTGAGTAAAGCAAACAAAAAATTAAAGAGAAAAAAAGACAAAATAACAAATACATAACGGGCAAAAAATATGGTAAAATAATAAAAAAGAAAATCAATACGAAATAAGGAACAAAACTAAAGAAAAAAAAGAAAACTAAGAAAAAAATAAAAATAAACAAAATCTTAAAAACGACAAAAAAAGAAAGAAAAAAAAAATGAACAGGCCCTATGAAAAATAAAACAAATCTTACAACAAGATAAAAAAAGGGAAAATATAAATTGATTAGGCTAATCAAAATAGTAACAAGCATCCATAAATAAATAAACAGGCGTGAGATGGTCGGACCAGCCGTAGACAAATGACCTGTATATTGAAACCTGTAATGACACGTTCAGCGCATATCTGGTCAAGAAGGAGGGAAAGAAGGGAGGGCAAGGCTGGGCGAAGGAGGGGTTGAAGAATGGTGTGGGAGGGGTAGGGAAGGGAAAGGAAAAGGAAGTGAAACGAAATGGAAGAAAGTGGAGGGAAGGGAAGTGAAACGGATAATGAAGCGGAAAGGTATGGGAAGGAAGGGAAGCGGAAATGAAGTACGGGATGGGAAGGAAGCAGGTATAAAGGAGCGGGAGTAGAGGAAAAGGAAAGAAGGAAGGGAGTGAGAGAGGGGACAGGAAAGAATAGCATGGTTAAAAGTGAAGTGGTGGAGGATTAGGGAAAACAAACGAATATAAAAAAGAGCGGGGATGGAAACTGAAAGTAAGAAAGGGGCGATTAGAATAAGGGAAATTAGGGGGTGGAGAGGAAAGAAATTACAGGTAGGAACAGAAAGACAGAAATAAAGTGAGACAAAGGGGAAAAATGAAAGGAGGGGGAAGGCAGGAGAAGGGAGATAGCGATGGGTGACGAAAGAAGGATGAAAAAGCGATAAGAAGGCATAAAAAAACGTTGACCAAAGAAGAGGAAGAAAGGGATACGATTGAGAAGAAAGGAAGCGAAGAAGAGGAGGAAATGGAACGATGAAGAAAGAAAGGAAGCGAGAAGAGAAGGAAAGGGAACTGATGAAGAAGAGAAGAATGCGAGGAAGAAAAAGAAAGCGCTAGGCGCGGAAAAAGAAAGAAGATGAACCAAGGCAATAGGAAGAAAAGGGAACGAGGAAGTAAAAAAGAAAGCTGAACAGAGGAAATTAAAAAAAAAAAAATAACAGAATACGCAAGGAAATGACATCAAAAACGAGGAGGGGAGGGAAGGAAGCGAAGAAATGCAATCGAACACGCCCACCCCAATCGGGAACACTGCCCCACAGCCTTCACGCCCACACCCAACCGAAACACGCCCGAAGGCCCTCACGCCCACCCCAATCGTAACACGCCCGCATTCCTCACGCCCACCCCAACCGAACACCGCCCGCAGCCTTCCACGCCCACCACCATATCGAACACGGCCCGCAGCCTCACGTGCCCATCCCCCAACCGAACACAGCCGCAAGGCCTCACGCCCACCCCAATCGAACACGCCCACAGCCTCACGCCCACCTCCCCAATCGAAACACGCCCACAGCCTCACGCCCACCCAATCGAAACACGCCCACAACCTCTTACGCCCACCCCAACCGAACACGCCCGCAGCCTCACGCCCACCCAATCGAAACACGCCCGCAGCCCCACGCCCCACCTCCATCCGAACAACCCGCATCCTCACGCTCCAACCCCAACCGAACACTGCCCAACAACCTCACGCCCACCCCAAACGAATCACGCCCGCAGCCTCACGCCACCCCAAAACGAACACGCCCACAGCCTTCACGCCCACCCCAACCTAACACGCCCACAGCCTCACGCCCACCCCCAACCGAACACGCCCACAGCCTCACGCCCAACCCCAATCCGAAACACGTCTCTCACAGCCTCACGTCCCCACCCCAACCGAACACGCCCGCAGCCTCACGCCCACCCCAATCGAACACGCCGCAGCCTCACGCCCAGCCCCAACTCCGAAACAGCCGCAGCCTCCCCGGAAGACCAACCCCTCCAGCAACGAATACGGCGACCTGAGGGGGAGCACCAGCCGCCGCCGCCGCCGCCGCCCCCGGCCACGCTGCTCCCCATCAGATCAGCTTTCCTCCTCCTGACGGTCCTGAGAAACGCTGCAGCGCCGATCTATAGTTCCACAAAGTAACAAAGAGAGAGAAGAGGGGGGCGAAGGGAGGGAGAGGGGGAGGGGGCGAAGGGGGAGGGAGAAACGGGGCGATGGGAGGGAGAAGGAGAGGGGAGGGAGAGGGGGGTGAGGGGAGGTGAGAGGGGGAGCAGGGAGAGGGGGGCGAGAGGAGGAGAAGGAGAGTGGGATGAGGGGGCGAGGAGCAGGGAGAGGGGAGAGAGGAGTAGGGAGAGAGGAGAGGAAAGGGGGGCGAGCGAAAGGAAAGAGGGGGCGAGGAGAGGTAGAGGCGGGGGAGAGGAGAGGGAGAGGGATGGCGAGGAGGTAAGGAGAAAGGGATAGGAAAGAAAGAGGGGCGCAAGGCGGGGCAAAAGAGGTTCTGGAAGGAGGCGCTTCAAAAATCAACCCATTCCTTGAATACGAACGCTTGAACGCACGGGACAAAGGGCTTCTCCCTTCCGGCTTTGACCGCACCGCTCACATGAAACCGCGACTACAGGATTATTACGGAGCATAACACATACACCCCACAATGTCTGTCTAAGTCTTATTTTTCTGTCTGTTCTTGGTTCTGGTCTGTCTGTCTGGTTCTGTCTGTTCTGGTCTTGTTTTTTCTGTTCTGTCTTTCAAACTTTTCTCCTTCTTCCTCAAACCCAAAAAACAACCCCACCCAAAACCANATATATATATATATATATATATATATATATATATAAATATGGGCACGAATGGCGCCCATCAGATATTTATCCTGACCTACTTCCCCTTATCCTAA